CTTGTTGTTTTTGTCTGCTTCCACTTGTCTTTGCACTAGGATGATGTCGGAGTAAATGTGCAGTCATATTTGTTGTGTTCCCACTAGTGCTGTCAGCGTTAATCTCGTTAAAATGACATTAACGCCATAATGCGGGTAATCTCCGTTAATGAGTTACCGTGGATCGCCCCGTGCGTGGGGCTGGACAGCGTCAACACGTTAATGAGCTAACGCACAAAGTTCCCACCAATTGAGTGTGGCACGTCCGACATACAGTTTTACTTTTGTCCATGACGCGCTTACCAGGATGATCTGATATATTGGTGTTGTTCCCAGACCATCATGAAAATGTTGTTCCAGGTTCAATATTGCAAGTGACCAATCACATTGTTGTGATGTTATTCTTTTGCGCGCCAAGCCATTCGTGCATTTATGAAATTCCAATGTTGCAAGGACAATATTGTCACGGCGGGGTGCGCCGATGTGTGTGGAAACAGGACCCAAAAGCAGATGACGACGAGGAGTAGTAAGGTTTTAACAGAAAAGTGATCCTTTAATGATAACGGCAAGGAAAAACCAGGAAACCAAAGCAAACTGTCAAAACACTAAGAAACAAAACACTAAGAGGTACTAAGACCAAAAACTATAACTATAACTGTGGTGGAAAATAACAGGCAAAGACTAAGACTATAACTGTGAGAATGACATGACGAACTGAAACTATAACTGTAACTCTGGTGAGATAAACAGACGACCCGACAATGGCATGCAGAAAACAAAGGGCTTAAATACATACATGAGGTGATCAGGGGAAGTGGAGACACATGGGGGAACAGCTGACTGACATAAACCTAATGACAGGACCAGGAGAGGAAAGCTAAATACAATGAACAAAGAACACATGACACTGTCAGAATAAAACAGGAAACACTAAAACTAGACATGACAACACAAACTTAACAAACCTAATGCGTGATGAATAATACAAGAACCCAAAACATAGAAAACCAGAGGAACAATAAACAATAACTGCCCAAACTAAAGACAGATAGGAAATGACACAAAACTAATCACATAACAAAATGAGACAAATACAAACATAAACTCAGAGCGCTGGGTCAGAGACCCAGCCTGCGACAAATATCAATTCTGCTTACTGTTTATTAAAGAGTTACGGTTAGGGTTAGGGTCAGGGTCCGTTGATCGACGGACAGAGGTGGTTTCTCGCAGCTTAAGTGCAGTTTTTTGTTTTACGCCGGTTTTTCCCGAAGTTGCAAAAGTATGACGTCACAACATTACCATCAGGGTCATGCTTCACATGAAAACCAAGATACTGTAGTTCCAAATGCCAGATCTGAATGAGGGTGGGGGCGATTCAATTTCGGGTAGCGTTGAGGCAGTTGCCATGTTGCAACGAGCTTAGCTTCTGTCTTGCTAGCTTGCGCTGCGCTCAGTGGATCTGCACTCGACAGTGCAGCCTAGGCGGAGTAGTCGAACGCAGATCCACTGAGCTCTCAACACAGACAGCATCGTCAGAAGGAAAGTTGATAAAATAAATAAAAATTTTGTATTGTTCGATACATATGCGTACTGAACCGAAAGCACTGTATCGAACGGTTCAATATCGATACGAGTATTGTTGCACCCCTAGTGTTTACATAGTAATAAGTATTCACCCACTAAATTTCACATAAGTGTTGTGTCCATTGTTATGTCTGGTGTTTGGAGACTGCTTGTAATGTCAGGATAATGCATATTCTGTGAGTTCACCTGTATTCAAACTGATCAGATGTTGGATCAACTATAGTATGGTATACAGGCCCCTAAAACAAATATATCAGGGATTTTATTCCTACTGCTGGAGTCCAAAACTTAAAACATGACAGAGCTGTGTTGTCTTGATAGCTAACATCTGTACCATTCTGCTGATGGCTAAGGCGGGGTTAACATTTTAGAAAATTCAAAGTAGTAAGTAGTTTTGTTGCTTTACTGTCCTGATCTGACATTCAGTTCTTGGTAGTGTTGAATTAGCCTTATGTATTTCTGTTTGGTTTTATTGTAGTTTTGCTATATCTATGGAGTTTGGTGCCTGTGTTTCAACTTTCTCATTGTTTCCCGTCATATACAGTTCAGTATCATTTTGTTCATTTGTCTTGTACACTTAGTTGTCATCTTTTGGGTTGTTTCCTGTTTTACTTTGGTAGATCTCTTTTGTGCCTAGCTTTGAATTTTGCGTTCCTTTGTAATTGTCTTGATTACCCACACCTGTGTCTCATTCCTCCAGCTGTTTCCACTTCCCTGATTACCCCATATGGATAAATAGTCCAGTCCTTCACCTTTGCTCTTTGTTGTGGTGTCTGTGTGCACATCTACCTAAAGGCTTGGCTTCCTGTTTAGGCCCTTTTGGGACTGTGCATTGGAAGTTTTTCTTTTTTTGTCCTGCATTTGGGTATTTCCTTCACAATACACAAACACAAGCAAATTACAACTCAAAACAGCTTCCTTTTGTAAAAGAATAGAAAGCTATTTTAAGCACAGAGCCCAAAAGGTAAACTCATCTCTCTCATTACAGGGTAAAATATTCTGTTGGTTGATGCACAAAAACAGAAATGCTTTTCCCCTGCATTTCAGCAGCGGGCCTGGTACACCTTTGCTTCGTGTCACTGTTCTTGCTTTATCCAGATGACAATCACTTTTAAATTTAAAGAGCCCTTCTTTTCCTTCATGCACCTCCTGTAATTTAGACATTGGTCCTAAATGCATAAAATCCTCTTAACTTTGCCCCAACAAAAATGTAACACTCAAAAAAGGCAGGCCAAGCATATACAGGCCAACACAAATTACAGCTCTGTGACACTTAAATCCTCTGATTTTGAGGCACTGGTGAGTCTGTGCAGCTCTCCGTCGACATAAAGCACAAGAGGACCCCTGAAGAATTTTCCAATTAGGAGGCACGAGCATGTCTCAGAGCTGGAGATGAGATGCACAGCCACATCGCTGTAACTTGACATTCCTCACAGCCACTTGTGTGAACTTCCATCAGTCTGGCGTCCATGCACCAGAAGTTTCACGACAGCAGAGTCACAGATTCAGGTGGTGAGGAATGTCATCAGTGGTTAAGAATATCCCTGTCCTGCTGTCTGGGAGAAATATAACTGCAGTCTAGTGACACAGACAGCTGAGACCTTTAAGATGTTTCAAACTGTCTTGTCTTTGACCATTCTTGACTTATGTTGTCAGGTTATTTTGTTCCACCTGACAACAGTCATTATATAACCTGAATGGGATACAAATTGTAAAGTGGATTAAATTTACTGATGTTCAGAACTGCAGATCATTGTCATATAAAATACACAGGCCTCTGTTGAAGATGTTATACTATTGTACAGGGTGGAATGAAACCAAATCGAATACGATGCCTCCAGTTTTGTTACCATCAGTTTGTTATAACTGATGTAAGGAAAAAAGACCAAGCTGGAAAACTTAAGAAGCCTCCATTTTGTCAGTAAATAAGTCAAATATTGACTAAAATAAATGCACAAAGCGATTTCTGCAAAGGTGCTGACGCTGTGTGCATGTTAAACCCATCTCTCGCTCACCATCTATCTTGCTCTCTCTGTGAAGTGAAAAATTGTCCATAGAAATTTGGTAATACCATGTTCGGATGGTTATTGTCATTACAGTTATAAAAAAAAAAAAAGAGGATCAGGCAGGCAGGAAAAACGTTGGTCAATTTCAACAATGTCATTACTCCAATCTTGTCCAGTCATCTTCTCTCTCAGTCATCTTTGAGCCAATCAGCCTTCACTCTGTGGTTTAAATCCGTGCTCTCTGTCATTCTCTCTTTCTCATTCATGCAACCCATTTCCTCCCCATCTCCACCTCACCCAAGTCTGAGCTTTATCCAAGTCTTGCTCTTCATCTTCATCACCACCAGCGTCTAGACTCCAGGGGTTCTGTCCTAAATCTGATCACCGCTGGGATTCTGTGCCTCCATGATGGTTTATTGGAGTCTAAAATCCAAGTATATCATTTTTTTTTTTTTCAAAATTTCTCTGTCTCTATAAATCACATTCACTTCTTCCAAATGATCTCATTAATGAGAGATGATTAATGCCCAAATACCTGATAAATAAGTAATGCGTTAAAGTTCAGAGACAGGAATTAGGCTTTATAGATCTAAATTATTTTTTTTGTACCAATTGTTTGTCCTTCTTGCATTTTAACCCTTTCATGCATGAATTATGACAACCTCAATCAGGATTTTTTTTCTTAAGTATTTTTATTCATCTTTAGGCATGAAAAAAATATTTTTGAACTTTTTAAACATGTACTTTTCAAAGAGGTTTTTTTTACATATCCACTTAGATGGACAACTGCTGTGTATGGAGTGACGAATCAGTGTCCAATATAGTGGTTTATATGCAGGTATACCATCAACACTGACACAAATACAAGAAAACAGCCTTTAAATAGCTGTCCACTGTAGTGACCGCTATGCGTGAAAGGGTTAAAATAGGAGTTTATGGAGATTGACTCATGTTTTCAGTCAGCCTCCAGTGGCCATTTAAGGAACTTCAGTTTGGCCCTTCTTTGCTGGTATAATTTCTTTCAGCCCTGGAAGTTTCCACTTGGTTTAATTGCACAGTTTGGATGAAGAAATCCAGACAGAGAAACTGAAAGTGGCTTTAATGATAACAAATGAAGCTGAAGTGCATAGTTGGTCCTGAAGATGAACCAGGAGATAATTGGGGAAATGAGGGGCAGGTGTGCAGCAACTGATGATGAGGTGACTGGGGAAAACTTAGGCAGGCCGGCCGGGCAGGGCGGGTTGTTGGATAATAGATGTTACAGCAGCTGATATTATATGCTGCAGAAAAAGTTGGAGAATAACTGGAAAAAAAATCCAGTTGCATTTCATGGAAAATCAAGCAGTGCAGAAACATGAATCATGCACAACAAGTGCGCACACACACTGTAGCTTATATGTGCAGTGCAGGGCTGTTCTTCAATTCTGCAGCATATCATCTTTTCTAATCTGGGATTGACTAATCCTCCTGTGTTCCTGATCCAGGCAAGGGGAGAGACAAACACCTGGTAACTGGGAAATGGTTTTCTCAGCTGTGCTTGAGGTTTACAGAATGGGTGGAATATTTTGAGGCTGCTTTCTCTGTGAATGCAGGGTGGCGGTGGTGGTGGACTCTTGGGACCATGTGCACCACCATCATGTTTCTCTCTACTCTGGCTTTTGTACTGCGCCAGCATTTCTTCAGCCGAAGTAAGACGTAAGTTAATTTTTTGTTCATCTGAGTTGATGGTTTTTGTCTTTGTTTGGAGCAGCAGTCATGCAGTACAAGTATGTTCATTTTGGTATAATAAATCTGCTACATCTTAAACTCATGTTTACCTGCACTGGAGATTTGACTTTGGTTTGACTACTGAAAACACGACTGAAAAAAATTAATTCTTGAAGGTGCAACAGGTGACTGAAGAAGTATTTTGGCAATCAAACTCTGTATTTTAGGATTCATTTAATTAAATTTTTTTCAATTTAACAATGTTTTTTTTTCTACTTGTGGAGCTTAATATCACTTAATATCATTTAAGTGGACCTGTTTATACCACTGCTGTAATCTGCAGTGTTATAATATTATATGCTCATCATGGTCAAAGTAAGTGCTTGAATGTTTGGAAGCAATCCCCAAACATTCAATTTCAGATATATTTTTTTTTTTTTACTCCTGGTTCAATATGATGTCAGAGTGAGTGGATATCCCTAATATGGTGATCTCAAGCACATGGCTTTATCTGCGAACACAACAGCTCTGCCCACCTGCTCTTCACACCTTTTTACAAGGGGAAGCCAATCATCAGTAAGTTGCCTTTGAGGGGGACGAGCTAACACAGCAGCAGCAAATGGAGAATGAACTGAAGAGGCTCACCAAGGTTCAGCAGTTTATAGAATGGAAGAATATAAACACAAAGCTGAGCGACAGCTTAATATACTGCCTTTAAAGTGATGCTCATTAACAGTCAAATTCATTCTGAAATGCTCCAGAAAATAATGTTTAATCGTTTATGCAAATGTAGAATATAAGATTTTGTTCATGTATTCATTGTAGTAGTTAGTGGTATTTACACCAATTTTTTGTTGCCCTCTCACAGAGACAAAGGCATACACACACATATTTGTGATGCAGTTTTAATGACTGTAAGTGCACATTTGCTGTCACTAACATGCTTCTTGGTTTAAATCCTGACTTCTGGTTTATTTTCAGCACTCTCTAGGAAACCATCCCTTCTAAGTAGTGATCTAATGGGGGAAAAAAAGCACAAAATGTCTTTACTCTCTGACCTTGCTCAACAATACAATCATAAGCATCATGCGACTTCTATGTGATCCCATGTCTCAGAATCTTTGAGAATCAGGTAACTTTTTAAAAAGCAATGGAATATATTTTGCTTTCATCACCTGCCCTCAATGAGAAGGGGTCTTTTTTAGGATTCATTGCTTCAGATGTGCTCATTCTCAGGTTGGCACATACTGATTTGTCCACACGGTTATGTATAATGTGGTGCGGCACCTCGGTTGAAGATTTATGCCTACTGCCAGAGTATGAGAAAGCACAGACAGCAACGTGAGTTCTTCTTGCCTTCAAATGTGCAGTCCCTGGGCTTGGTCTGTCTCTGTATCTTTACCTCATAATGATGATGTTCACTTACAGATGAACATAGCAATTATTTAGTGTGAACAACAGTTCAGTTTAGGACTTGTTCAGAGGTGACTGTGTGCTGGAAAACAAGCAATGATTACTGTGAAATGTTGTTGACTTTCACCATTAGTCAGCTTCATAGAGGCATCTTTCACTGAAGGGAATTTCTGAGAACTGGATGCTATTTTTAGCTAGAAAGAAGTAAAAGCTGACTGGAAATACCAAAATTATGGTGAGAGCTGCTTTTGCACCAAAAGACTACAATTGCAAAGATAATCTCATCCATAATTCAGTAACACATTATGTATAGATTCAGGATCTATACATGATAGTTGGTTTTTTTTTTTGGTTTTTTTTATTCAAACTCTATATTAATGTATCTAGATCCATATATTTATTTGTCTGTATCTATATTTATCTAGACTTTCGGGTTTATTTAATTTTACTGAGCAGAATTTGCGTGTTTGGAGATGTTGGTTCAAGCATTTGAAATTACTGCCAATGAAAATTGGAAAATAAATAAAAATCTGTTTCTGCTAACTCTGCTATCATAGGCTAGCTAGCTCCAACCACAACTTTATTGACATTTGCACCATGAACACATCACAGTAATAGGAAGGAAGAAGGACGTGTTGAGACTTTAAGCTGTGGGATGTCATTATTCTCTTGAGACAGCATCTCCATGTCACCACTACAACCAATGCCAGGCTGTAGCACATGAAAAATCACCTCATTTAACATTACCAGGCATTGACCTGCCAATCAGATTCAAGTTCTGTTAACTGGAAGTACCTGAATGTCATTTGGGGTTGTTCAGGCACGCTTTAATCACTGTGTTCTAGTTTAAGAGGGTTACTGCTGTGCTTCCCATCACCCTCAGTCACGTCAGATTGCTTTGCACTTCCTGAGCCTGGTTCTGCTTAAGATCTCTCCCTGTTAGAAATGAGTTTTTCCTCCCCACTGCTGTCATGTGCTTGCTCATATGGGATTGCTGGGTATCTCTCTGTAAGACATATATTTTTTAAAAGTACCTTGAGCTCCCTTTTGTTGAGGACTGGTGCTACATATATTAAAACTGATCTGAAATGTGGCCTACTGACTATTAACACCAGTCAGAGTTCTAAATACAGTCTCATAATAACGCAGATATTATCTCAAGTACGTATGATATCTGAATAGGAGTTTAATATGAGCCTGTTAATATATCCTGTGATGGATTTAGGCCTTTTTCTGAGGAGCACTATTTTGCTCAGTAATTGCCTTGGATTTAAACTGTCAGTTTTCTCAGTAATGCCGGCACATCCAATAATACGCATCCTTTTGTTCTGGCGTTAAATAAATGCAGAACAAACACCCCAATTACACCGTACTCTATTTCCTGTGAGGTTAAATTGAATGTGGGTTAATGGAAAAGGTTTTCTAAGTTTTGAGAGCTGATTTTTAAATGAAATGATAATTATATGAAACAAATTCACGCAAGCTAAAAAATTCCTATGACACAATATTAAACATACTGCCACTGAGACGTGTATCGATCCATTTTCACACAAACATACCTATATCCAGAGTTTATGCACATTTCACATCATGCCAGTACCAAACCAAACTCCCGTTTGTAGAGTCTTTGTTTGATTTATACATTTTCACACACTTTTAATTGAACCCATTATGCTAATTTACAACAGCATATTTTTTTGTTCTTGCACTCTACTAGAAAACATTTGCAATAGTTGCAGTTCAAAATTATCTACATCTTGTTTCAAGGTGGTACACTTCCTTAGTTCATCAAGTGTCTTAAACAGGCTGTTATCCCCCTGCTCCCTTATCATAAGCCAACTTTCTTCTGATTGGCTGCATCATGCAAGCAGAAGGTTTTAACAGCAGGTGATAGAGCCTTAAGTATACTCCACTCTTGCTGACACCATACAAACACAGGAGTGGAAAACTGCTGTCAGAACGACCCAATATCATATCAAAGCATGTTTGCATTTTACGCTTCGCCTCTCCAAAACATGAAATAGACACACATGCAGAAGTTGCTGTAACAGAGAGAGAGATATATACTTTATTTCAAGCAAAAATCCCAGGAAAGAGTTTAAAAAAACTTTACAAATACAGTTACATGTTTTTAGCCACCTATCTTAATAGTTTCTGGCAACTATGGACCCTGGAATGTACTTCATACATTTTTGTGCCTTTAAATATATTATCTGCCCCTGCTGGTAATGCAACTCCTGCATTCATGTCCGTTTCATGTCTTGGAGAAGCAAAGCTTGAAATGGAAACTGTCACAGTTCTGGGTCATTTTGACCCAGCATTTTGAGTTTCTTTTGTTTTGGTTTATTTTTGCATTATGGATTATTTTCTGGTTCTCTGATGCTTTGTTTATTATTATTATTATTATTATTATTATAAATCTATGTTTCAGTTATTCATGGTGAGGTATTAGTTCTTAGGTTGTCTCGTGTTTAGTATAGG